ATGGGACCTCTCGAGTTCCAGACGGAAAGATGGCGACGAATCCGGGTCCATCAAGACGAAAATGAATACCTTTCGGAACTAAAGAGGTTTTTGAAAGGTCATTTCGATCGTTTCTCGCCGAGATGTATCCGGAAGACAGCAAAACATGCGGAACTTTTCGTGTTGGATGCTAGAGATATTCTCTATCGACTGGTGCAGTCACCCAAAGAACGACCTCGGGACATGGAATCGGAGCTACGAATAGTCGTACCGACTTCGCTTCGAGAAGACCTACTACACTTTGCACACGAAGATTATCAGGGCGGACATCAGGGCATCAAAAGGACCCACGAGAAACTCCGGACGGAGATTTACTGCCCCGGTATGTATGCCGACGTTGGACGCTATGTGAAAGAATGTGTAGACTGTGCAAGTGGAAAGGGACGTCCTCCGAATCCTGGTCCTCCGCCCGGAAGCATGGAGCCAACTTATCCTTTCGAAGTTCTTTCGATGGATTTCGTGACTCATCTTTTAAAGTCCGAGCGAGGAAATACCTTTTTACTTCTCTTCCAAGACATAGTTTTATGATTTGTGATGTGTAAGCCGATGAGTTCGACTACGGCACAAGAAGTGGCGGAAGTGTACGAAGAAGAAATTTTTCGATGGTTCGGAGCGAGCACTCTTCTGAGACACGACCAGGATCCGAGATTCATATCCAAAGTGTTCACTCGTTTCAGAGAGCTGCTGGGGAGCCGACAACGTGCAACGTTGAGCTGTCGACCCCAAGCAAATGGTCAGCAGGAGAGATCCGTCCAGACGGTGATACGTTCCGTCCGGGCATACGTTGCTGAAGCGGATCAAAATGATTGGGATGACCACGCCAAGAGATTGATGTTCGCGTTGAACACGTCGTTTGACAATACTCGACTGGACCCTTCTTTCTATCTAGTACATGGCTGGGACGCAAAGAATACGATTTCGGCCATGTTGGGTCCGAAACCGACCAACCTCTCCGAACGGACAGAATTCAAGTGGCGTCGAAAACTTCAAAGGGATTAATGATATGCACAGACCTGTGCGGAGAGACTCCAAAAGGGGACTAAAAAGTACGGTCAGAAGTCCAGACGAAGAAATTGCGCGAGTTGTCCGAACGGATAAAATCCAGTTTTCAATCCAGCGATTCAGTTTGGTTATACATTTCGAAAGTGCAACCTGGATTAAGTAAGAAACTCGCTCATATGTGGCATGGTTCCTCCCGAATCGCGGAAGTCCACGATGATTTTTGCGTTAAGTCGAAGATCGAAGATACTGGATACCGCGTGAACCCTGGGGTGCATATCAGTCGTTTGAAACCACGTGCCCTATTTCCGAAACGACCTACTATCCCGATCGAAATTTCGGAAAAATTGGTTGGAGCCGGTGTTCGCTCCTTTTATTTCGTAAGTAGTCGTAGGGCGACGCAGTCTGATGATCGTCTATCTATCTATCTGGTCCATGGTTGGGATACTCAGGGCACTGTGTCCTCCATGTTTGCCTGCCAATACCACGCTTCAGCGAGGTTGCCATAGCACGCAGAGTCATATGAGTGTTCCAGCCATGCACTATGTAAAATGGGGTTTCTTTTCTCGTCATAACATGCGAGTTATTGATAGCAAATACAGGTCGTTCTGCAATTTCATCCCAGTCGTGTTGTAATGGGTCTTCAACATAGACTTTCACTGACAGCATAACCGTCTTCACTGAGCGTTCCTGTTGACCATTTGCCTGCGGCCGATAACTCAGTGTAGATGACGCGAGGCGAGTGAACGCCTGAATCGCTCAAGTGTATAGTACGATGCCCGGGGGGAGGTAAACAACCAAAAAGGTGTTTTTTTCTTGGGGGTCAGAACTCTCCAACGGTGTGATTCAGATAGA